TCTTTTTTTTCTTTTTTTTTTTTCAAGAAAGTGTCAAAAGACAAAGACACTGAAGATTCCAAAACAAACTAAATTACACACAGGACATTTCCGGATTTGTGTTTGTCGTAAAAATAAAATAGGAAACAATAAATGAAAAAAAAAAAGATTTATTTTTTAAGATATAAATGATACATCTACTAAGCTGTTGGTTTTTTAGCTCATGTTACATAAATGTTTTCTAATTGTTTCCTCAAAACAATATGACTTTTACAGTGTCCTTGCTAAAGATCCTCATCGATCATAGTATTAAAAAAAATCAATTTTTTTAAATCTTCAACAAGTAAAAAACAAGATAATTCTCTTTTTCGAAAGAATTGTAAAAAAGATATATTCTTTGATTCTTTTTCCAAGAAAATATTATTTCTAAATCTGATTTTAATTCTATATCAAATTCTCTGTAGAAAAAATGTTTTTTATGTGTCAAGTTTTCTATAGCTGACCTGTCACAGTTTTATTCCATGAAAAATTTTGTTTAAAAAGAACAAGTTTCCTAAAGAAAACTATAGTTCTCTATAGAAAATATGTTTTAGTCAAGTCAAGTTATCTATAGACTGCCACAGTGTTATTCCGTGACAAATAGACTAGACTGTCTATGGTCTAGTCTACAGTCTAGTCTATAGTCTAGTCTATAGTCTAGTCTATAGTCTAGTCTATAGTCTAGTCAAGTTATCTATAGACTGCCACAGTATTATTCCGTGACAAATAGACTAGACTGTCTATAGTCTAGTCTATAGTCTAGTCTATAGTCTAGTCTAAAGTCTAGTCTATAGTCTAGTCTATAGTATAGTCTATAGTCTAGTCTATAGTCTAGTCTATAGTCTAGTCTATAGTCTAGTCTATAGTCTAGTCTATAGTCTAGTCTATAGTCTAGTCTATAGTCTAGTCTATAGTCTAGTCTATAGTCTAGTCTATAGTCTAGTCTATAGTCTAGTCTATAGCTAGTCTATGTCTAGTCTATAGTCTAGTCTATAGTCTAGTCTATAGTCTAGTCTATAGTCTAGTCTATAGTCTAGTCTATAGTCTAGTCTATAGTCTAGTCTATAGTCCTAGTCTATAGTCTAGTCTATAGTCTAGTCTATAGTCTAGTCTATAGTCTAGTCTATAGTCTAGTCTATAGTCTAGTGCTATAGTCTAGTCTATAGTCTAATCTATAGTCTAGTCTATAGTCTAGTCTATAGTCTAGTCTATAGTCTAGTCTATAGTCTAGTCTATAGTCTAGTCTATAGTCTAGTCTATAGTCTAGTCTATAGTCTAGTCTATAGTCTAGTCAATAGTCTAGTCTATAGTCTAGTCTATAGTCTAGTCTATAGTCTAGTCTATAGTCTAGTCTATAGTCTAGTCTATAGTGTAGTCTATAGTCTAGTCTATAGTCTAGTCTATAGTCTAGTCTATAGTCTAGTCTATAGTCTAGTCTATAGTCTAGTCTATAGTCTAGTCTATAGTCTAGTCTATAGTCTAGTCTATAGTCTAGTCTATAGTCTAGTCTAGTCTAGTCTAGTATAGTCTATAGTCTAGTCTATAGTCTAGTATAGTCTAGTCTATAGTCTAGTCTATAGTCTAGTCTATAGTCTAGTCTATAGTCTAGTCTATAGTCTAGTCTATAGTCTAGTCTATAGTCTAGTCTATAGTCTAGTCTATAGTCTAGTCAGTCTAGTCTATAGTCTAGTCTATAGTCTAGTCTAGTCTATAGTCTAGTCTATAGTCTAGTCTATAGTCTAGTCTATAGTCTAGTCTATAGTCTAGTCTATAGTCTAGTCTATAGTCTAGTCTAGTCTAGTCTAGTCTAGTCTATAGTCTAGTCTATAGTCTAGTCTAGTCTAGTCTAGTCTATAGTCTAGTCTAGTCTAGTCTAGTCTATAGTCTAGTCTATAGTCTAGTCTATAGTCTAGTCTATAGTCTAGTCTATAGTCTAGTCTATAGTCTAGTCTATAGTCTAGTCTATAGTCTAGTCTATAGTCTAGTCCAGCGGTTCCCACCGATTTTTACTTCGCGGACCCCTTGAAGAACTTATTTAATTTCGCGGACCCCCATACATATTTGATATTCTATTGTTCTAAATAATTGTCCATCCGAAAATTGACCTAGTCCATTAATCCCTAGGTCTAATAAATGTAGAGATGTCATATCTATAAAATATTCCCGTACATTGAGAATATATAATATTTCAGAAAGGTTTTCAATTGCATGTTTTGAAGATAGAATGACTTCTTTGTTGATATGTTTCATGATGTTTCATTTTATGATCGTGAGATCTTTCATGTTCATTTTTCTTCAAGGTAGCGAAAAGGTTTCTTTATCAAATATTGTCACATGTGCTTAAGGAGTCACGTTTAAAAAATTTGTTGCGATTGATAAGTGAGCTAAGTTTTCGGGAAAATAATATAAGAAAGTTGGACTTCTTCTATGTTGTTGCGGAATGCGTTATCCGCATAATATATGATTTGAACTCTTTGTTAAAGTACTGTGAATTTGGAACTTAAATTTGAATTTTAAAATACCAACGAATTATTTTACTTCATGGTTTTTGGCTACATATTTACGCGAAACGCTATGGATTTTCTGATGTTAATTTAATAATATGTATTGGTCGACAAAATCAAGTTAAAATCTGTGTATCACTTCGGATTGGAATATTTATAAAGAGATGCATAAAGAGTCACCTCTGTTTTGAAAATATATAATTTTAGTCCCTTCAAACGAGAACACTTTTGCTTACAATTTGATAAACTTAAATCTGTAATGAGCTTGTCTTTGAATTGAACTTCATACTCCGGAATACCAGTATCCCTAATTTAATTGTAAGGCAGAGTATTATTTGTCTGAAATAAAAACCATTATTTCAGTAGATATACAGGAAATAAAAATTACAAATCACGCAATACTTTACTTTATAAAAGTTATACAATAAATTTGTAGGGCCTAGCTTCTTCCTGATAAACAACCGAAAAAATAAAATTCAAAAAGTCACCAAAAAATTTGGGATTATTGCACAAAAATTGGAGATATTTGTACATACATATAAAAGAATATTGTCTATTCATGTTTTTTTCGTTCGTCTTCGCGGACCCCCTAGGATTTTACTACGGACCACTAGGGGTCCGCGGACCCCCATTTGGGAACCGTTGGTCTAGTCTATAGTCTAGTCTATAGTCTAGTTTCTACGGAATACCTGTCACAGTTTTATTCAGTGACAAATTTAGTTTAAAGAAAACTGAAGAAATTCTGACGAATTACGTTTCATTTCTACAACTTATTTCTTTAAGTGCACATAATTATTCACAAAAAGAAAACTCCAACATGTCCTAGTTCCCTTTTTGTTTTACACTCTATAAAAATTAAACTAAAATTAAGTAAAAAACATGTAAACTCTGTCACATAAATTATTTACACCAACTTTAAAATTTTACAAAAAAAATCCCTAAAAAGAAGCACCTTGCTCCTTAAAAAAGAAAAACAAATAAATAAAAATAGAATTAAAAAAACACAGATAAATTGCATCCTTAAAATCATTACAAAATTGTCCTGTTTTTTACATTGAACTTGAACTTCACCCCAAATGAAAATTAAGAAAAAAATAACTCGAAAACAAAAACATGTGTCAGCAAATTCCAACACTCTTTTTCTTTAAAACAGCTGCCCCCGAACTATAGGAATCTTTATGCTACACACACCATTTACATTTGTTTCTTGTTAAAAATTAGTGTTTAGTTTAACATTTATTAATATAAATGTCCTTATTTTTGGGGGTTACTAACGATTTATGCAACAGTAACATGTGCTTCCCCATTCCAACACTTGAATATGATATCAGAGTAGGCAAACACACACACAAACGTGTTCAATGCATTTTGCCTCAATGAGTCATTATAATCAATGCACTTACTGACTGCATTTACATATTTGTATCTACATGAGAGAAGGGTACATACAATATGAGTTACCGAAATATTTTGTTAAATGTGGGCTACTGTTCGAATGTGTGTCAGTATGTTGCCTGGAGGTGTGGTAATGGGGTGTCGATTATGAATCTTTTATTAAAGGCTTGTATGTTGGAATGCTGTTTTAACCCATTAATCTTTAAAAAAGGGATGTTACTTCTCACACTATTAATCTGGTGGCATAAATCATTGTTGTTTGCGTGCAGGTTGGAGGTATGGGAAACTCTCACATAAGGATTAAATCATAAAAAATTTATACATACTAGAAAAAACTTATCTTTTCCTTAGTATAACAAATTATATTTTTTGATCACGGTAGCGTTAAACCATATGTATTTCCAAATCATTAATTTTCAGCTATTATTTCGGCAAAAATGCACCTATCTATCTATCTATCTATCTATCTATCTATCTATCTATCTATCTATCTATCTATCTATCTATCTATCTATCTATCTATCTATCTATCTATCTATCTATCTATCTATCTATCTATCTATCTATCTATCTATCTATCTATCTATCTATCTATCTATCTATCTATCTATCTATCTATCTATCTATCTATCTATCTATCTATCTATCTATCTATCTATCTATCTATCTATCTATCTATCTATCTATCTATCTATCTATCTATCTATCTATCTATCTATCTATCTATCTATCGATCTATCTATCTATCTATCTATCTATCTATCTATCTATCTATCTATCTATCTATCTATCTATCTATCTATCTATCTATCTATCTATCTATCTATCTATCTATCTATCTATCTATCTATCTATCTATCTATCTATCTATCTATAAATAAAAATTGTATAAAAATTTTGTCACAGTTTTAAGTCTTGTTTTCTGTAGAACAACAAACATCTCATTAAAACTTTAGTTGTATAAAATAAGTTAATTTTTACGTCTTTATACGTTCTATTAAAGAAAACAATATTGTTTTAATTGCTTTATAATAGACATTTTATTTAATAGCGAAATAATTTAAACTTAAATCTTAAATAAACTACTACAGTCCACAGAATATCATCTATATATTTAAAAAAGAACAGACTTTAATATTTTAACAATTAATTTTGTAAAAAAAAAAAATATTCATAAAACTACAGCTACCTTATGAGTATACGAGAGTAAGGAGAGAAGAAAACTTACAGCTCATCATGAATTTTGTATTCATCCCCATATAATTTATCCAAAAGCTGAGCAAGCAACTGAGCTACTTCCAAGTGGTACTCATCTTTAGAATGTATTAATCTCTTCTTAAGAGCTATAAAAATCTGCATTATACGAGAATCTTGACTCCATATGACATTACATAAATGGTCTTTGACATTTAGAGAATTAACAACATATTCTAACAAATCGGGTGCCTCAAGGAACCTAATACCACTTTCACTCAGTAAATTTAACAAAACTTCACAAAAGTTTTGATCGATTAGCCAAACTGATAATTTGATCTCAGCATATTGGGCCGCTGCTAAAGGATCATCGGTTAATTCAGAAAGTGCCAATTGACGCTCATTGAGTAGATCGCCAATTATAACCACAGCTTTCACTTTGATTTTAAGCTCACAGTCTCGATTAAGTACGGACATTAAGGCTTGTGTGCCCGATGTAGAGAGTATTCTTTGCTGAGCCAAAGGAAATTTACGCAGCAAAGCGCTAAAGGCATATAGGGCCGCTGAAAGTTCTTCCGTATTTGTAGAAGTCATTATTATTTGGGCTAGATGTGAACCCACATTACGCTCATAAACCTTAATTTGCACACGAGGATTATTCTGTGACATGGCACCTAAAACCCGCATGCTCTCTACCTTAAGCGCTGAGTTGGTGCTATTCACCAATATCGGTAGTAAAACATGATCCAAACCACCTTTGTCCACAAACACCAAAGCATTATCAAATTGTGACATTAAATAATTAAAACTTTCCAATATTTGCATTTGAGTCTTGACACGTGCCTTGACCTCCTTGCTATCTGTTGCTGTAGAGGTGGTAGAAGTTTGAAATTCCTCTATTAGTTGTGTTATAACCTCAGCATCTGTTTTAAAGGATTTACGCATGCCTTCAAAGCTTTTCTTTAACTCCTCATAAGATCTATATTCACGTATAATATTTTCCACCTTTTCCTTGGGTGTATAATCAATACCTATCCTTTGTAAAGCTTCATCTAAATGTTTCACTTTTTTTTGTTTTTTTGTGCTCTTCTTATCATCCTCCTCGCCAGAACTTTCTGCTACCACTGAAAGAGCAGCATTTTTATCCATTTGCTGGTGCTGTTGCTTCCGGTCATCCGCTGAGTCATCATTTTCTTCTAGAATTTTCGCTTCTTTTTTGCCAGTTTCCAAATTTATTCTAATATGCAAGCCGGCCGGTACACCTTGACCTGTTAGAGAAACATAAACTCAAATGTCTCTCTCAATTGCTTTTGCATTTCATCAACTTACCCTCCGGTATTTCTTGCCATTCTTTTGTAGCCACAAATGTTTTGTTTTCTTTACTTTCCTTTGCCCATCCCTGAGGCAAAAGGCAACAAATTATCAGTAGTATCACTAGATATTTCATGTTTATATTAAGTTTATGACGTCTTTCTTTGATAGTTTTGTGAAATTAACTTAATGTTTTATTATTAAAATATGCGTATATTTAAGTAGTTTTTTCTATGTTTATCTTACGTGTCTATTTTTTCGCAAATATGTAGATATTTGTTGTATTTTTTATGATTTCTGTTGTTGTTTTTTATTTGTTTGCTATCAGCTGTTCGTTAGCTGTCACAACGAAAACAGGGGAAAAAACAACAATTTGTATTTGTAAACACACCGGTAAAAACTACTGTATAAAGAAAAATAAATGGTGAAGTGTTGCCACGCTGCACATTACCTATAGAATTTAACAATAATATTTATTTACCACAATATTTAAAGATAATTTTGCAATAAAATTCTTCCCATATAAAGTTTTTATTAAAAATTTGATTTTGGTAAAATTATTCAATAGGAATTTAATAATCCGTAGAAAATTTAAGAAAATTAAAATAAAAAAACTTAAGTTATCGAAAAATTTCTTATGGGAAATTTAAAATTATCGATTATTAAACAAGAAACTTTTTTTTTGTAGTAAACAATATTTCAAAATTGTAGTATTTAACACTTTGATAGAACATTGGTTAGTGCTAAACAATTGTGATAGAACATTTTTGATACTAAAACATCTTAACAGAATCGTATTTGTAATTTTTGTTATTATATTTTTAAAAAACATGTTTAGAAGTTAAATTTTCTTACTAGAAATTTCTCAGGAAATTGTATTTCCAATACATATTTTCAAGACTGTTTTAAATTTAATATTTTAAATGAATTCCAAAAAATTCGATGTAATAATATATGGGGCCAGCGGTTTTGTAGGAAAATGTGCTGTCTTACAGGCATTGGAGGTATTGAAAGACTATAACTGGGCCATAGCAGGAAGATCAGAGGTACTATAAGAAATACGTTTCAAAAATAACAAGATAATATTTCAAAGAAACATTTCAGCATAAATTACAAATGGTATTAAAAGAAATTTCAGATAAAACTGGCAAGAATCTAACAAATATACCAATATTACTAGCAAATGCCCATGATTTGGAGAAACTGGAACTATTAGCAGCCAAATGTAATGTAAGTGATCATTACAACAAAATATAATTATTTAATTAAGAATTATTATAGGTTCTAGTAAATTGTTGTGGACCTTATCAATTATTAGCGGAAAATATTTTAACCAGTTGCATCATGCAACGTACCCATTATGTGGATATGTGCAATGATCCTTATTTAATGAATTAATGGAACTTAAGTATCATGAAAAAGCTTTAGAACATGAGGTCTTTGTCATTTCAGCCTGTGGTTTCCATAGTTTTCCCTTAGAATTGGCTTTAAATTATGTGAGGCAACATTTTAAGGGTAAGATTTTCAGTGCAAATTTATATATAGGAAATTTATTTTTTAATCTTATTTCTAAGGTACTGTAAATAGTGTGGATGCTTTTGTGCGTTATAATTTTGGTTATTATTTTTATTTTCCTCTCCATCCGATATGGACCGCTACAGCTTGGCTAAGTTTGTTATGGTCCTGTGTCAAATTTCCAGAATTATCATTGTTAAGAGATGAATTATGGCAGAAAATGATGCCTAATTTATGGCCTAGACGTCACAGAGAGGAGGATGAGAGAAAGGTGAAAATAAGTGCGTGGAAGGAGTGTGGGGCGGGAGAGAACGGCGCAACGCTCAAGCTAGCAGGAAGCGGGGGGGAGGGGAAACGGGCCGGGAGAGAGCAGCAAGCGAGAGAAAGGGCGCAAGAGGGAGGGGGGGCACGAAAGAAAAAGAGACCGAGACAGGGGGGAAAGAGAGAGAGGGCCGGAAGGAAACGGGGCGAGGAGCGAGCGAGCGAGCGAGCGAGCGAGCGAGCGAGCGAGCGAGCGAGCGAGCGAGCGAGAGCGAGCGAGCGAGAGAGCGAGCGAGCGAGCGAGCGAGCGAGAGAGCGAGCGAGGAGCGAGCGAGCGAGCGAGCGAGCGAGCGAGCGAGCGAGCGAGCGAGCGAGCGAGCGAGCGAGCGAGCGGAGCGAGCGAGCGAGCGAGCGAGGGAGCGAGCGAGACGAGCGAGCGAGCGAGCGAGCGAGCGAGCAGCGAGCGAGCGAGAGAGCGAGGAGCGAGCGAGCGAGCGAGCGAGCGAGCGAGCGAGCGAGCGAGCGAGCGAGCGAGCGAGCGAGCGCGCGAGCGAGCGAGCGAGCGAGCGAGCGAGCGAGCGAGAGAGCGAGCGAGCGAGCGAGCGAGCGAGGAGCGAGAGAGCGAGCGAGCGAGCGAGCGAGGAGCGAGCGAGCGAGCGAGCGAGAGCGAGCGAGAGAGAGCGAGCGAGCGAGCGAGCGCGAGCGAGCGAGCGAGCGAGAGCGAGCGAGCGAGAGAGCGAGCGAGCGAGCGAGCGAGCGAGCGAGCAGCGAGCGAGCGAGCGAGCGAGCGAGCGAGCGAGCGAGCGAGCGAGCGAGAGAGCGAGCGAGAGAGCGAGAGAGCGAGCCGAGCGAGCGAGCTAGCGAGCTAGATGAGCGAGCGAGCGCGAGCGAGGAGCGAGCGATCGATCTAGCGATGCGAGCGAGCGAGGCGAGCGAGCGAGCTATCGAGCTAGCGATCTAGCGAATCTATATCTATCTATCTATCTATCTATCTAGTCTATCTATCTATCTATCTATCTATCTATATCTATCTATAGATCTATCTATCTATCTATCCATTTATCTT